AGGGTAAGTTAATATATGGCTTTTTTTTTTACTTTTGTTTGGGCTTGTTTTTGTTCATTTGGATGTTATTTATCACAGGTTTGGATTTGCTGGTTTTATCGCAGTCCTTCCTTCTGATTTTGTATTGCTTGACTGTTTGAGTATTGATTTTCTATATGTATATATATAGAGAGAAAGCAAACCAAACTATTAAAAGTGAAACTCAAAAACTATTACAACAAAATGTACAATCATGTAGCAAAAGAAGTTAAAAATAAATAAATCCACCATCGGACCAATATTATTTTCGTATATCGTATCCAACCCTCTATGTATGTATATTTAATATCCGTAACATACACATATAGCTTACGAAGTAATTGATTCATCTCCATACTTCCTAGCTTTAATCATTCAAAACCCCATTTTTTGCAGGTCATACAATAGCTGGAGGTATGGTAGATCACTTTACAATACTCAATACTCCAGACATAGTGCAGATTATAATTATCGAAAGTTCCATGATACTCAAAATCCAGCTCAGAAATTACTACGAAACCCACCTTCTAAACATAGGATCTTGTGGATGAAGTGTTGTTCACAACAGTTTTAAAACTGTAGCCTCAGCACCTAATTGGAAGTTGTCATCACATTTTCTTGTGTTATCTATTCAAAGACTTTTCTGCTTGACTAGACTATTTTGTCAAGATTATAATTTACCACAAGTTTGTTAATCACAGACATCTAGGAAATGTCCCTGTGTGTATGAAAGAACAACTCGGGTTTTGGACAATCTTATGAATTATATCAAAGCTGTGAAGTTCAATGACATTTCAAAACCTCAAAACGAGTCTTATGAAATAATATGTTAGGTTGTGGAGGACAGTTTATCAAACGTAAGTTGCTCTTCATCAAGTGTATTGCTGGGTAGTTTCAGCCGTTCCTGGCCCTGTGTCAAACAGACTAGCCAATGGTTTCCTTTTTACGTGATGATCTGTGATAAAGTATTTGATGAAATGACTCATTAAGAAAAAAGTCTTCTTGAAAGCTAACTCTCTTGACAAGCTTATTTGAATCGTTGTCTCTGATAGCAAGAACCAGTAAATATACAACCAAATTAACATTGGCTTCTCAGCTAAGAAATCGTTAAAGGATGTAAAGTCAAAAAGCTATAGAGAACCACGCATTTCAAAATGGAATGCAAAGATTTCTTAGTAAAACTACTGCCGAAAGTCGTTACAGAATGCTTATTATCCTACTCCTTGTCGTCTTTAAACCCCTTTATCGTGGTTTTGAGTGCTGGCACTTGCAGAAATAATTTCAAGAAGGTACTAACAACTCTACTTAATTGTAGTAGAGTTATGGAACAGGACTGTGATGTCACCAGTTATACAGCTTCACAAAAAACATCCAGATCGTTGGATTTGAAGAGTTTAAAACTTTAATTATAAAAATAAAAAAAAGTAGATGTATTATTTGACCTTCTGTCACTGTATACTGTACAACTCTTACTGGTTCTATCTTCTGGGCGGAAAGAGTTTTTCTTTTCTATGAACAAGGAAGCTGAAGTGAGAACGTGACCCAAAGATTAGTTTGTGACTCTGTCATCAGTATAGGAGGTATACGCAATGTAACTGTCTCTGAAGGGAAAATATGCTAGATACTGATATTGAATCACTGTACAAATCTTCAGACAAGTTGGCTGAAGAACCTGAGGGAACTGAACTGACGACGTGAGTCTTCTTACCCAATTTAATTATTTCTGGAGAAATCTACTGAAACGGACACTATTACAGAAGTAACTAGGTGCTAAGCTGTCTGAGAATAAGAACAATTAATAATTAATGTAATTTTGTATGAGGCTCTTGTATATTTAAAAAGCTGTATATTGTTTAACAATGACAGGTGGCCTCAAACTGTTGATTTAATCTTGTTACCAGGGCCGGCCCTTGGGGCGGGCGATGTATACCCCGCACAAGTCGCCAAAACCAATATTAGTAGTTCTTGTCAATTTTACAGGGGAAGAGGCGCCGAATGCAAAGTTCGCAGGGCTATAAGTTTACCAAGGGTCGGCTATGCTTGTTTAGTGAACATCGTACCACGCATTGGTCTATTGAATACAACTTTTTATCATTTTTACACTAGCTCTGATGGAGAGTGATTATAATGTTACGGTGAGCATGAGCTTAAATTTGCTTGAAAATATGGTATTGTGTCCTTAAAAAGTCCTTCAGTTTTCTTTATCTCTTTATTTACGAGAGTGGAATATTTCTGTGAGTTAAGACTTGTACAATAGCTACTTCTGGATGATTTAGCAATATAATGTTTCTGTAGGTGAGGTCAAATGTTTGAATTATTCCGTTTTTTTTTCTCTCTCTCTCTTTTTAGCAGCACAGTCTGGGCACTGGGCAAGTAGATCAGGCGGCGCCTGACCGAGAAAGTTGGTTTTCTTGGAGTATTACCGTTTCCCCACACCAAAATTCTCTGGGCATTGGATTGATTGATCCCAGCCCCCCTGAAATGAGCCTTCTGTCTATCATTCTATTCTACTCATTGTATACCTCTCTTTTCCCACCCTTATTTCAATCTATTGTCCTGTCTCACCTACCTTCAATTAAGACCATAAGACTGGGGATTATTATTATCATTACTATCATTATTATTACTATTTTTTCCTCACTCAATTACCTTTTTTTCCCCTCATCCCTTCTATATATCTGCTTACTTGGAACTGATAGACTCAAGGCTTACGACTCCGCACGCCACCACTGAACATCAATACGAGCGTTTCTCGGCCTCTTTCACGGCTATCCCATAATATGCTAACCGCTCTAGTCGTCAAATAAAAAGGAATAAACTAAGTATTTAGTTAATTCTCCTCTGCCGCTTCACTCAACATTTCCACTGTTGCTCCTGAACTGGCATGATTAATTAATCTTAACAACCAAAAGCGAGATGAAACGAAATAAATATTTCCGAACCTCCCCAGTTGTACTTTCCAAAGTTCGAAATGATTTTAATACCGAAACAACTGCTACGATTTTGATTTGATTTTGGAAAACGCGTACAGTAAATACTTCTAAGTAATTCAGCAGTCTATTACAGAAAAGTAAATGAGTATACTAGTTGTTTCTGTGAGTGAGTTAAAACGTGTCTAGTAACTACTTCTGGGCAATTCAGCAGTGTATTACTTCTGTCAGTAAGGTAAAATATGTATACTAGTTGTTTCTGTAAGTCAGTTAAAACGTGTCTTGTAACTATTTCTGGGTAATTCAGCAGTGTATTACTTCTGTCAGTAAGGTAAGATATGCATGCTAGTTGTTTCTGTAAGTCAGTTAAAACGTGTCTAGTAACTATTTCTGGGTAATTCAGCAGTGTATTACTTCTGTCAGTAAGGTAAAACACGTTTTAACTCACTTACAGAAACAACTAGTATACACATCCTAGTAACTACTTCTGGGCAATTCAGCAGTGTATTACTTCTGTCAGTAAGGTAAAATATGTATACTAGTTGTTTCTGTAAGTGAGTTAAAACGTGTCTAGTAACTATTTCTTGGTAATTCAGCAGTGTATTACTTCTGTCAGTAAGGTAAGATGTGTATACTAGTTGTTTCTGTAAGTGAGTTAAAACGTGTCTAGTAACTACTTCTGGGTAATTCAGCAGTGTATTACTTTTGTCAGTAAGGTAAAATATGTATACTAGTTGTTTCTGTAAGTGATTTAAAACGTGTCTAATAACTATTTCTGGGTAATTCAGCAGTGTATTACTTCTGTCAGTAAGGTAAGATGTGTATACTAGTTGTTTCTGTAAGTGAGCTAAGACGTTTAGGATAGCTGTTTTTATAAGTGAGGTAAGTAATTTATAGTTATTCCTTCTGAAATCAAGGTAGCGGTGTATGATACTTGTTGTAAATAAGGCAATACGTGGATATTAATTTATTCTCTAAACGAGGTAAGACGTGCATAGTAAATACTCCTGTATATTAGATATTCTTCCGCAGGGTCCCCGAAAGTGTTCTGTCTCAAGAGTATATAACACCAAACTTAAAAGTAACAAATATTTCTATTTCTTGCTTTTGAAGTTCATATGTCATGCTGTGCTGTAGACTACAGAATGCATAATTCTTCTCGTGATTCATGGCATGACGTCACGACAGTTTAGATTGCAACGTCAATCGTCCCTTATATTACGTCATTTTAATGTCTACTGACTGACTGACAGAGAACGACAACACGGTACTGTACGTTGGTCCGAGTGGTTAAATAAAATTATATTAGGAAGCAAGTAAGGTAATATGTGTATACTACAGTAGTTACTTCTAAAAGTGAAGTGAGACATATATGGTCATTTCTTCTGTAAACGAGGTAGGATATATATGGTAGTTGCTACTGAAAATGAGGTGTGACTTTTATATTAATTTCTTAAGTAACGTAAGCCGGGTGTGGTAGTTATTTTTGTAAGTGGGGTAGTACGTGTTTACCAAAGTTAGGTAAGACGTTTACCATTTTTTTTTTCTGTACATGAGAGATGTATATATTAGTTTTTCTGTGAGGTAAGAAGCGTGTAATTTTTTTTTTATTTTTTTTTTGTTAGAGTGAGGTAAGACGTGTTTTGTAGTTTCTTTTGTGAGTGATGTAATGTGTATAATAGTTGTTTCTGCAACTTAAGTAGCGTATATAATATTTGCTTCTGTGATTAACATGTATACTAGTTGTTTCTTATGCGAGGTAAGGCGTTTATATTAGTTTCTTCTAGGTAGTTCAGACATGTAGTACATCTGTAAGTAAGACGTGTATACTAGTTGCTTCTGTAAGTGAAGTAAGAAGTGTACAGTAGATACTTCTTGAACATTCCAATTAATTCTCCTTATAATTACAACGAAAGTACAACATAATATAATAAGACTATAAATAAAGTGTCATGCAAGTGCAAATGTAGTTATTTACAATATTTGTGTGCAGCTATAAAACATGATTGTTCCTTCGCATTCATAATCAGATGTTCTTTCTGGTTTTCCCAGGATCTTCAGCTAGCGTAGTGTTGTCTTCCGAACACATGATTATCATCCTAGTTGTTTTTTTCGCTCTGGTTTTCGGCATGTGCCTATCAATCTCTATTTCTTGCTATAATAAGATCAAGGAGAGAAAGGAAGTGGAACGAGAATATCGTCAGCGTCGATCAAAATACGTATCAATGGAGAAAGATCTGGATGAAAAGGTCAGTAGTTTAGATAAAAATTTAGGAATATTAATGACGACCCAAAATACCAGGATTCCGGTTGGATCTCAGAAGAACAACCATAAAGAAACCCTTGAAGAAGAAGGAGATGGATGCCATGTACCGGAAATTTATTTTAGTGTATTCGACAAGCATCCTAATGGTGGTTCTTCAGTGAACAGACTGGAAGATCACAGTCCGGGATCTACGCCCGATAGCCAGGTAGCAATTACCGTTTTACCTGATGGTAGCCAACATTATCCCTTCTGCAGTTACCACAGAGTTAGTGAAAGTCCTCCCCTCCCTTCTCCTCCACCGCCCCCACTGCCCCATCACCTGCGTAAAAACAGAGAAGAAACCGATTCCGCAAGCTGCCTTGTTTTTGTTGACAGTAAGTGTCCGAAGCACAACAGACCAGTCGCCCTTCGCACGCATCAATTGGAAGACCTTGAAGTGCCTTCCTTTCCACAGGAGATGGTCACAGAAGCAGTGGTTGAACTGTATCCGAACAGTCCAGGGAGATGTCGCTATAAGTATGACCACCCAACCTGAATTTTTACTCGGACAAGCTGCCAAGTGTCGCGAATAGCATACAAGTAAAGAGGAGTTAGAATAAACGCACGTTAAGTGTTGGGTATATAGTGAAACAATGCTATAGGAAAGATCTTCTTCAGATGACTTCGAATCAAATTTTGTCCTGACCTTTCTATGAAAACCCTGGAACACTTCTACTTAGTGATGACTTATAGATATGTAACCAAAGTATCATGTTGTGGTCCTGGACGAATTATCATCAATTAATTTATATGAACAGGGTTGAAGCAGTGACTTACTTTTAGCTGAACAAATTAGTAGAACGTGTTATGTGATTCTTACAATTTCCTGCCACGTACAAGTAAGAATAACTCTTTCGTGTTGCTCAAGTAGCATGTTAACTTTGGACGTATATCCCCCCACCTCACCCACACACACAAAAAAAAAATTCAGTACTGCTCAACATCCTTCATTTACAACACCAGTTATAATTGTTCAGTGTTCTTTCCTTCTTATCACCAGCTATAGTGCTTTGCCTACTTCAAGAATTGTCCACTAGATGGATTAAAATATTAAAACTCTTAACAAGAAAAAAAATAGAAAATTACAAGTTTCCAGAACATAATGTGTTATAAACATTTTCGACAAAATTTATATTATATATATATATAGTCTAAATCTCATTTATATTTAATGTTAAACACTAATGTGGTAATTTGTTTGTTTGTTTGTTTTTTTATTATCAATGCGCTCATTCGCTTGTTAAAGAGTTATACGTCAGGACGATGCCTTGAGGCAGATACTTCTCATATTAAATGTTGGTGCTATTTAATCACTTGATGTCAGTACTCGTGTGTCTAACTTAAGTGTGTTAATTTTGCAGTGCTTTTAAAATGTTGTTCCATGTTTCAGAGATTTTACGTATTGTATTGATTATCATTTGGTTTGAGTATAATAACATTTCTAAAAACAAATCACATTCAAAATATGTCTTATCGTGACCTTTCATTCCTTTTATAGCAAAGGTTATTAACGCCTTTGCCGAAAGGATATAGAAAGTTATAAACTTTTTCTCGTTTATTACTAAAACACTAAGTAGTATAGGAGTCTAATGACAACTTTCTTTAAAAAAAAGTGTCCTAAAATAATAAATATACTAGAATTTTTCTCTACGTAAAGTTATGAAATAACAATTATCATTCGGCAGAAAAGAAAAGTTTACGTTGCAAGTAGAATTATGAAAAAGAATTATCATTCGGCACAAAAAAAGGTTTACGTTGCAAGTAGAATTATGAAATAAGAATTATCATTCGGCACAAAAAAAGTTTACGTTGCAAGTAGAATGACATGATTATTTTTTGTTAAGGCTTCATTTTTGTGAAAAACGCTATATTTGAGACAGCTAATCCGAAATGGATGAGAATTATACATTTTCGAAGTCAAGAGGACATATTTAGCTTGCAACAATACGTGTTTTAGAGATGAAAATTTATAAAACGTGGGAAACAGGTAATATTTGAATACAGTTAGATAACGTAGAATATTTATCACAAAGGTAAAGGCTCTACATAATAATTTTTTGTGAAAAAAGTATCGTGAAATTGAATGTTAAAGAGAAAAACTACCTGTATAAAAACATATCACATTATTAAATATTGCTGAGAAAATCTGATCGTGAAGATAAATATGGATGACACTAATCGTCTATAAACGTTTAGATGACGAAGGTTAGAGGCTTAGATTAAGGAAATTTTAATGTAATAACTTTCAGGAATAAAGATTGTGGAGGGTCAGATTTGTCCAGTATGATATGTGACGATAAAGACTCTTAAATAATAGTTTTCATGGGTCGTTGACAGTGATGATAAGAAAAAGTTTAAAATACTTTTAAAATGAAAATATGGCAACATAACACTAAGAATGTATACACTCGTACAGCTCACTTTGGATTTATTTATTTATGAAAAAATAAATATATATTTGTAAGTTACAAAACTTTACAATCATGCTTTACATATGTACTTAAAAGTTCATTAAGTGTTTCGTTTAAAATATGTTCCGTTCCTTCAAAAATACACGTTCTCTAATAAATTTCTTACATGCGATATGGCCCAGCATGGCCAGGTGATTAGGGCGCTCGACTCGCAATCTGAGGGTCGTAGTTTCGAATCCCCGTCACACCAAACATGCTCGCCCTTTTAGCCGTGGGGGCGTTATAATGTGACGGTCCATCCCACTATTTGTTGTTAAAAGAGTAGCCCAAGAGTTGGCGGTGGGTGGTGATGACTAGCCGCCTTCTCTCTAGTCTTACACTGCTAAATTAGGGACGGCTAGCGCAGATAGCCCTCGTGTATCTTTGCGCGAAAATTCAAAACAATACATGCGATATTAATTAAGCTCGATAAGATGATTAAGTTCTTTTTTTTTAGATTTATTGATGTATTGTTTGCGTTATTTATTTGTAATATAATTAACAAGCAGAGATTCAATATCCTGGACATCTGCAAACTTTAGAGGAATTTCTTTCAAGATGAAACTTTTCAATAATGGGAAAAGAAGTTCGGTTAATTCGCATTCCGTTTCAGATATAACAAGTAAGAGTTGTGTTACCGAAACAGAAAAGAAAAGAGAGAGAGGAAATATTGTGGAAATTAATCATTCACAAGCCATTTACTTGTCTTACCAGTTTTGACAGATGACGTCATCAACGTAAAGAACCATTATTTAGCTTTCCCAAACAGAAGACTGGGCATCCATTTATAAGAAAATATTATACTATAACTTTATGGTGGGAAGCAGTGCTGTAAACAAAAACATTTGTCAGGCAGTGGGGGTAACTGGTATCTTTGTAATCTAAGAAAAGAGCTAAAAAATAGTTCTATCAAATTTCGAAGGGAGGGTGGGGCCACGGCTCAGCAGCAGCATTCCCTTACGTCTGTGGTAGCAGGTATAACATATAATAATGTAAACTGTTAAAAATTAATTTCAGGTATTTGTTTGTTTGTCATAGAGCAAAGCCACATTAGGCTAGCTGCTTTGTCTACCACGGGGGAATCGAACCCCAGATTTTAGCGTTGTAAGTCCGTAAATTTACCACTGTTCCTTCCGGACAAAAAATAGTTATTTTTCAATAATAGTTTTTGTTTTGTTTTTTAGTTGTTATACACAAAGCTATTTATGTCCTTCTCACCACGGGTATCGAAACCTGATTTTTAGCGATGTAAACCTGCAGACTTACCGCTGAGCCACTGGGGTGCTTCAGATATCCATCGTCTCGTCGAGAAATCCCCTTACCGTAGTCCTCGAAAAAATTCAAACGTAAAAGTCTAGGAAAAGATGTAAAGTTTCTTTATTACGAGAAGATAAGAGTTAAATACTAACTCTAGTAAAGTAGTAAGCAAAAAAGTTGTAAAATCCATTAAAGCAAGGCGCGGGATGGCCCTGTTGTAGAATTGTGGATTTCGGAGCTGGAGAGCTGGTTTCGAATCCGTATGATATCACAAAATATTCTGCACACTTTAAACTGTTTAAAGAGTGACAGTTAATTCCTTAGTATGGATGATAGGGTGTTGTTGGCTGGCTGCCTCCCCTCTGGTCAGTAGCTCAAAATAAGAGACGGCAACAGATAGCCTTATTAGTTTCGCCATACATACAAATGCATTAAAATCTAATACTCTCCTGTGTGTTATTCAGTAACAACATAGTATACGTAGTGAAATTTATTTACTTGTGAGAAATGTTCAGTAGAAATGAGCAACATCATGTCATAGCTTTATTGGCCTAACTGTTTACATCAGATACCGCTTTTCTAAGGGCGGCGCTGTATAAACAGCATGGTTTGTTTGTTTCGGATATTCGCGCAAAGCTGCACGAGGACTATGCGCACAGCCGTAGCTAATTTTAAATTGATAGCTTAGGGAGAAGGCAGCTAGTCAATAGCATCCACCGCTAACTCTTGGGATAATCTAATCGAATATTGGGATATGACTGTCACTCTTGTAACATACTGACGCGCGGCCTCAAAATGACCAGCGAAATGTTTTTTTTTGTTTTTTTTGCAACAACGAGATGCGAACTATAATTCCATATCTACGGTCCGGTTCGTTAACCAGTAGGCTACACCCAGCCTTAAGCAGAAAATAGGTAGTCTACCAATAGATATCATAGATTTTATCACAATAAGCACGATGTGCCAAAGCTGAACAAGTATTTTGGCTAATCTTAACGCTCACTTGGGTCCATCATGTCGAATTTTTGGATACTTGAACTTTTCACCGTTAATACAAGGAATGCAAGAAATACCACCATTTTATCTTGAAGATAACATAAAATATTTTAGTCTTAATGCGTGTACGGGCGAGTTGGAAAATAGCTTTACGAAAAATACGACTAATAGTTCTTTCTGAAAGCCTTTCACAGAAGGTAAGACAAATCTGAGGAATATTTAAGTTACTTTGACACGAAAAAATCATTTTATTTGTTTATAAATGTTTATATGTGTTTACAAATGGCGGGGCATGTGCATTACTAAACATTTTCTTCCAAACTTCTACTAATTCTTGGTCTATTGTTGTTGTTTCTGTAAGAAGAATATAGCGTAAAAGCCCTTTTTTATTCCTGTAGTTTTTACTACAGAAACCTTGGGGATGATGGAATACAAGTTATAGGTTTTTACCGGAATGCATATGGTTTTGGTAAACAACCTTTTTAAAACAAACATTTTTAGTACTAGGAAAGGTGATGTTTCAAAGTTTTTTTTTCGGTTAAAAACAATATTTGGGTAAATATCATTCAAGTGAAAAACAAACATTTTTAGTACTAGGAAAGGTGAGGTTTCAAAGTTTCTTTTTCGGTTAGAAACAATATGGATTAATATAATTCGGGTGAAAATGAAATATCTGTAAGTTGTTTTCTGGAAACACTAAAAGAATGTCATCAATTTACATCGTTTTCATATTTAAGATAACTGTGTATAACTTTTAATAATGAGTAACTGTTTAAGATGTTCCATGACTAAATTAGCTACTGCAGCTGAAACCAGTGAACTCATAGAAGTTCCAGCAATTTGTTGATAGAATATCTCATTCAAAGACAAAGTTAGTAATACGCAGAAATATTCAGAAAGGTCAAAACACTTTAAATAATTGTATTCTGTCTAAATCACAAGTCTGGATTTAGTAACTTCATAAGGTAAATCAGTAGGAATACAAGTCAACAATGATATCACTTCAAATAATATAATTTCTTCTAACATAATACATTTCTTTATTATAAAGGAACTAAACTCTCCAGTACTATGAACACCATATTCTGCCTTATTAGTTAATTAAAGGCAGAAGGATATTGTCAAGTAAAATAAGGTCTGCAAACAATTTAGACGATGAACTACAAATAATTCCTGAAAGCTTCATTCAAAAGGATAACTATAGGGAAGAAGTTCTTAAAAAATAATCGACTCATTAGAAAAAACAAAACAAAAACTTCAAAGAGACAAAAAATACGAATCGTAAATATGAAAGCATCTTCAACCGTAATTACCTATGTCGA